ACCAAACATTTCCAAATTTTCTTTCTGTGTGCAAAATTTGCTTGTGTCCACCCTGGGGTGAATACTGCCACTTTTCAAACCACAAGGTGTAAATAATAAGGTCCTGTAAGGAGAGGTAAATGACATAGTCAGATTTGCATTTGACATTCATCCACTAGAAGGGAATGGTTAAGGTGCTTGTGGGAGAATCAGAGGGAAGAAAACAGAGTAATAGATGATCACCTGTCATCAGGATACACAGCAGTAAGCATAGCAAAGAGGAAAAAAAGGACAGAAAAAGCAGCAGCAGAACATGGTTCTAATTTGCTGTGCAGAGAATAAAAATAAGCTTTTTTCCCCAGGCTATTTACATGATTTCAGCTACTTAGGTATTGGCATTGTAAAGTAAAATTTGGAAAATGGGCTTAAAAAAAACTATAATGCAGAAGTGACACAGCTTTGAACACATTAAACTTAAAATATCTGTGAAAATGTCCAAACGGCAGTTAGATATATAATTTCAATGTTTAGGACAGATATCTAAGCTGATAATAAAGACTTAGGAAATATCAGAATTTCATCAATACCTTTAGCAATCAGAGTTAATAAATCTGTAACATTAAATTAAAAATTTAGGGAATCTGCAGAAACATTAATATATAAAGATAGAAGAAGAGAAATAGAGTGTGAAGATCAGGAAAAATTTTCTGAATTTATTTCACAAATAAAGGAAAACTCAGTATTAAGAAGTCTACCAATACAATTGATCACTTTCATAGTTATGAAGCAAAATCCTTTGGTTATCTACATAAACATTAAAAAGGTACTTCTAGAAATACATTCCATGTTTCTATTCCTGCACACACACGCACACACACACACACACAAAACACTTGGAAATCATCACTCCATCCTAACAACAAATAAAAAGCTGAAGACTGAAAAATCAATAACTCTTCTTGAACAGTAAGAAAGAAGGACACAGAGCACACTGGTCACAAGCATGAACAGGATCGTACAGTTAATAATAAAAAAGATCTCCCCCCTGCTTTCACCTGTGAAAGAAAAAAGGCAAACCTTTAAATATGCGAGAATATTCTGTTGTTTATTCATTACCTACTCTAAGATATTTTGTTATGGAAGTCCAAATGGACTAAGACAGCTCCCACCTCTCCACAGCTTATGACCACATTACTGAATGCATATTTACAGTAGTTTCTTTTCCCTGTTACATCATATCTGGCTATAAAGAAAACAATTACATGGCACTTTTAAAGACAGAAAAAAAAAAAACATAATAAACAAGCAAAGAAACACAGCTGGAAGTGATAGAGCAATCATCAGAAAAAGCCATGATCAGGATG